CAATAAAGAGCAGTAAGCACAGTCTAAGTATGTAAAGACCAAATACATAGACGCCTAGTATGCATAAGTTTCCAAAGCTGTAAACAAAGGTTTACGCAAACAAGGGGTTTATCAATTTAAAACCTTCAGTGTACAAGGCATGCCCCCAAAAATTCAGACAAGTACCTAGGGCTTCCTCCTCTGCCAAGGCCCATCTGCTCCAAAGCTGTCAATGCCAATGTAGGTCTGTACTCAAATGTGCTGACAGTGGACCTGTAAGGACAAAGCTTTGCAAACAGTACTTGCAGACTGTGTTCCTAATTACTGTATAAATATATAGTAATATTATTGTTCCAATATACAGTATATTCATTTAGTGCTTTAATATACATTCAAATGATTTTTCTTTAATTTGCACATAATATTTTTAAATTAAAATCATAAATACGAATTCCCTTATTAAAACTTTAACACCTATTACAGTCATTTCTCACTTTCTTTTAATTATTTTTTTGGTTGTCTTTGTTTTGTTTACTTTTTAATTGTTTTGAGATTTTAGCATTTAATATATTATTATTATTATTATTATTATTATTATAGAGGATTTATATAGCGCCAACAGTTTGCTCAGCGCTTTACAATATAACGGGAGACAATACAGCAACAAAACAGTTCAATACAAGAACTAGGATGTCATTTATTAATGTTTCACCCAGGATTCACACAGCTTTCACCCCTGTATCACACATTTTCTAATTACTTCCTGTGTGCACAATATAGGACTTCAAATGCACTGGGGACCACTGTTAAAGCCCATGTCAAAATATATGCAATACATCTCTGCAATACATTCGCAGTTCCCTAATTTATATACCTTTAAGCCTGTTGCACATGGAAGTAAAAAAATGAGTTTTTTACTGATCTGAAATGAGATGCATTATTGTCTAAGGGACATTGCACACAGCTGAGTAAAGTTTAGTAATACAGCGATGAGTACAGAGCAGTAAAAAAACAAAACAAAACAGAAAATGTTTCATTTGAGTGCAGAAATGTAATTGTGTTTTTAATCATTTACTTGTTTACATGAATATAAAGGATTAAATTAAAATACTGGCAAAGAAGAAGACTTTTACTCATCTACAGGGCCGGATCTAGCCTATCTGATCTGGGATTTTTCTTTAATTTGCACATAATATCAATATTTTTTAAATTAAAATCATAAATATGAATTCCTTCATTAAACCTTTAAACCTATTACAGTAATTTCTCACCCTTCTTTAACAACTTGCCCTCCTGAGGTTTACCCCCCTTCCTGACCAGGCCATTTTTTTGCTATTTGGCACTGCACTAATTCAACTTGTAATTGCGCGGTCATGCAATGCTGTAACCAAACAAAATGTATGTCCTTTTTTTTCACACAAATAAAGCTTTCTTTTGGTGGTATTTGATAACCTGTGCGCTTTTTATTTTTTGCACTACAAACAAAAAAAGACCGAAATTAAACAAAAAAAACTATTATGTTTTACTTTTGGTTATAAAAAATATATAGTAAACTCAACGTTAGTCATAAATTTAGGCCAAAATGTATTCTGCTACATGTTTTTGGTAAAAACAAAATCACAATAAGTGTATATTGATTGCTTTGTGTGAAAGTTATAGCATCTACAAACTGTGGTATAGACACTGCAATTTACGACATTTTTTCCTGCGCCAGTTTAACTTACAGTTGCACGGTCATGCAATGCTGTACATAAATGAAACTTGTGTCCTTTTTTTCAAACAAATAGAGCTTTCTTTTGGTGGTATCTGATCACATCTGGGTTTTTTTTTTTCACTATAAACAAAAAAAAAAAAATTGAAAAAATATTTGCTCATTTCTGTCATATAAATTATCCAAAAAACTAAATTTTCATCATAATTTTAGGCCAAAATGTATTTTGCTACTTGTCTTTGGTAAAAATCCCAATAACTGCATATTAATTGGTTTGTGTGAACGTTATAGCATCTATAAACTATAGTATAGATAATGGAATTTACACAGCTTTTACTTTCTGACTGCCTCACATTTCTTGAGGTGCTAAAATACCAGCACAGTACAAACACCCCCAAATGACCCCTTTTTGGGAGGTAGGCACCCTAAGCTATCTGCTGAGAGGTATATTGAGTCCATGGAAGATTTATTTTTTTCCACAAGTTTCTGGAAAATGACAAAAACATTTTGTTTCACACAAAGTTGTCACTTAAAGTCCTCATTTCACTTCCTCACTACCTATGACAGTTTCGGAGGCCCTGAAATGCCAGGATAGCACCAACCCCCCCAAATGACCCATTTTTGAAAAGTAGACACCCCAATGGAATTTAAAAATAGGCATGGTGAGTATTTTGCAGATCTCATCTTTTCTCACAAGGTTTTTTTTATATATAAAAAGTTAAAGAAAAAATGTTTTTGTTTTCTTTCTTCATTTTCCAAAAACTTGTGGGCAACAAAGATCTGAAAAATACTCTCCATGCTTCTTATCAAATTCCTTGGAGTGTCTACTTTCCAAAAAGGGGCCATTTGGTGGAGTTTGGTGCTATCTTGGGCATTTTAGGGCCTTCCGAAACTGTGATAGGTAGTCTGGAAGTGTAATGAGGAAATAAAGTCCTTTAAAAGCCTGAAGGTGCTGATTGGATTTTGGAGTCCTGTACTTGGCTAGACTGCCAAAAAGTCTCTCAAATGTGGTATCCCCATACTCGGGAGAAGTAGTAGAATGTATTTTGGGGAGTAATTCCACATATACCCATGGCATGTGTGAGCAATAAATCATTTAAGTAACAATTTTGTGTGAAAAAAAAATATTTTTTTGTCATTTTCCAAAAACTTGTGGTAAAAAATAAATTCTTCTATTGATTCAACATGCCTCTCAGCAAATAGTTTGGGGTGTCTACTTTCCAAAAAGGGGTGATTTTGGGGGTGGGTGGGGGTATTTCATGCCCAGTATTAGAAGTTTAGGCCACACATCACTCTACTAACCACCTGAAGACCAAGCCTTTTCTGACACTTTTTGTTCACATGACAAAATCTGTATTTTTTGCTGGCTCCCAGGTGTGACCAGAGATGTGTGACTGACGCAGGGAAACGCAGACTTCAGATATGTGATAAACAATGTAATTTATTAACACTAACAATACAACCATAAACGCAGTGCAATACTAAAACATAATACAGTGCAAACAAACCAAACCAACCACCCACAGATAACAGTACAAACAAGCAAGCGTCGTCAGGCAGGCCGGGTCAATATCAATAGGGCAGGTAGGTACAGGGGGAGCAAGCGGAGAATGGTCGGGGTCACAGGCCAGGTTCAGCAGGTAGCAAGCATCGTAGTACAGAGGGTCAGGCAGAGGGATGGTCAGGGTCACAAGCCAGGGATCAGAACAGGTAGCAAGCAGCGTGGTACAGAGGGTCAGGCAGAGGGATGGTCAGGGTCACAAGCCAGGGATCAGAACAGGGTCAGCAGAGAATCAGACAGGAACAGAGAGCAGGAACAGGATACAGATGCAGGACAGATACAGGGCCCAGGACAAACACAACACCAAGGCAGAGTCTGCAAGTCTGGCCATCCCTTAAATACACCAGTATCATCAGTTCCAGGTGTTAGCTGGCTGAAAGGTTGAGTCTCTGATTGCTGGGAGCACCCGCTGGCCAGCCCTGGTACTGCAGATCAAAAGGCAGGTGAGTCCCACCATTGCTGGCCAGTCCATTCCTGACAGTACCCCCCCCTCAAGGAGCGGCCTCAGGACGCTCCAAACAGTCCTAGCTGGGCAAAATGTTCCACCGCCCGGGTCTGGTAACTGGGGATATCAAAGACTGGCACACCGGGCAGGACTCCGGGCAGCGGCACACCGGGCTGGACTCCGGGCAGAGGCACACCGGGCTGGACTCCGGGCAGAGGCACACCGGGCAGAGGCACATCGGGCTGGACTCCGGGCAGAGGCACATCGGGCAGGACTCCGGGCAGAGGCACATCGGGCACTCCGGGCAGAGGCACATCGGGCAGGACTCCGGGCAGAGGCACATCGGGCAGAGGCACATCGGGCAGAGGCAGATCACATCGGGGCAGAGGCACATCGGGCAGAGGCACATCGGGCAGGACTCCGGGCAGAGGCACATCGGGCAGGACTCCGGGCAGAGGCACATCGGGTAGGACTCCGGGCAGAGGCACATCGGATTACCAGGCGAAGCAGCAGGCAGTGGGCCACCAGGCGGAGCAGCAGGCACCGGGCCCCCGGGCGGAGCAGCAGGCAAAGGGCCCCCGGGCGGGGGCAACAGGCACCGGGCCCCAGGCGGGGCGACGGCGGGCACCGGGCCCCCAGGCGGGGCGACAGGCACCGGGCCCCCAGGCGGGGGGCGACAGGCATCGGGCCCCAGGCGGGCGACAGGCGGGCCCCCAGGCCCCCATCGGCCCCCATCGGGCGGGGCGGGGGCATCGGGCCCCCAGGCGGGGGACAGGCATCGGGCCCCCAGGCGGGGCGACAGGCATCGGGCCCCCAGGCGGGGCGGCGGGCGCCGGGCCCCCAGGCGGGGCGACAGGTCTCGGGCCCCCAGGCGGGGCGACAGGCATCGGGCCCCCAGGCGGGAGCGACAGGTCTCGGCCCCCCCAGGCGGGGCGACGGGCATCGGGCCCCCAGGCGGGGCGACAGGCATCGGGCCCCCAGGCGGGGCGACGGGCATCGGGCCCCCAGGCGGGGCGACAGGTCATCGGGCCCCCAGGCGGGCGACAGGCATCGGGCCCCCAGGCGGGGCGACAGGTCTCGGGCCCCCAGGCGGGGCGGCGGGCGCCGGATCGGGCCCCCAGGCGGGGCGACAGGTCTCGGGCCCTCAGGCGGGGCGACGGGCGGGCGCCGGACCCCCAGGCGGGGCGACAGGTCTCGGGCCCCCAGGCGGGGCGGCGGGCGCCGGACCCCCAGGCGGAGCGACAGGTCTCGGGCCCTCAGGCGGAGCGGCGGGCGCCGGACCCCCAGGCGGAGCGACAGGTCTCGGGCCCTCAGGCGGAGCGGCGGGCGCCGGACCCCCAGGCGGAGCGACAGGTCTCGGGCCCTCAGGCGGAGCGGCGGGCCCGGACCAGGCGGAGCGGCGGGCGCCGGACCCCCAGGTGGAGCGACAGGTCTCGGGCCCTCAGGCGGAGCGGCGGGCGCCGGACCCCCAGGCGGAGCGACAGGTCTCGGGCCCTCAGGCGGAGCGGAGCGGCGGGACCGGACCCCCAGGCGGGACCCTCAGGCGGAGCGGCGGGCGCCGGACCCCCAGATGGAGCGGGACAGGTCTCAGGCGGGCTCGACCCGGAGCGGGGCGCCGATCTGGCGGCAGTGGGCTCCGAGTCAACTGGCATGACCGCTGGCACTGGGTCAGACATTGGATCGTCTGGCTGGACAGCGGGCTCGGGTCACCAGGCATCAGGTCATTTGGCTCGACGCGGGCACCGCGTCATCTGGCAAGGCAGTGGGCTCCGAGTCAACTGGCATGACCGCGGGCACTGGGTCAGGATTGGATGTCTGGCTCGACAGCTCGGGCTGGACAGCGGGCACTGGGTCACCAGGCATTAGGTCATTTGGCTCGACAGCGGGCACCGCGTCATCTGGCAAGGCAGTGGGCTCCGAGTCAACTGGTATGACCGCGGGCACTGGGTCAGACATTGGATCGTCTGACTGGACAGCGGGCATCGGGTCACCAGGCATCAGGTCATTTGGCTCGACAGCGGGCACCGCGTCATCTGGCAAGGCAGTGGGCTCCGAGTCAACAGGCACGACAGTGGGCACCGGATCATCAGGTACCCGGATTGTCTGGCTTGACAGCGGGCACCGGGTCACCAGGCATTGGATCGTCTGGCTCGACAGCGGGCATCAGGTCACCAGGTATGACAGCGGGCACTGGGTCACCAGGCATCAGGTCATTTGGCTCGCCAGCGGGCACCGCGTCTGGCAAGGCAGTGGGGCAAGTCACCAGTGGGCACTCGAGTCACCAGGTACGACAGCGGGCTCTGAGTCAATTGGCACGACAGCGGGCACAACTGGGATCAGGATCGTCAGGGATCATCATCTGGATCAACAGCGGGCATCGAGTCAACTGGCCTAATAGGATCGTCAGGCTGGATCAGTTCATCATGCAGGGTAGAGGCATCAGGCTGAATGCCGGCGTCCGGCTGAGTAGAGGCTTCAGGCCGAGTAGAGGCTTCAGGCCGAGTAGAGGCTTCAGGCCGAGTAGAGGCTTCAGGCCGAGAAGAGAGGCATCAGGCGAGTAGAGGCATCAGGCCGAGTAGAGGCTTCAGGCCGAGTAGAGGCTTCAGGCCGAGTCACGGAAGGCAGGTTCACCGGTTTGGATACTGGCAGGATGGTATTGGTTGGAAAGAATTTTCGTTTTTTTCTGGTTTTAACTACTGGAGCACTGCAAGTAAACGCAGGTCTGCAAACGAATGGAGCAGCTGGAGACAGAGAAGAACTGGAGGATGGAACAGAAGAGGGAGCAGTTGCTACAGAGGGCTTTTTTACAGGGTTAAAGGCAGGATAGGTGCAGCGAGTGGGAACAGGGTACTGACATGCGGTAGATAGCCAAGTATACTGGGCTGTAACTGGAGGAGCTGTTGGGAATACAGGAGTAGAGTTAGAAGCAGGACTGGGTCTTTGTAAGCTGACTGAGGCTGGGTGCAACAAGTCTGTCCATGTCTGCAGTAGGGGTTGAACAAAGCTGAGCTTACACAAAGCCTGTCTGGTCAATGACTGCACTGCGTTTATACAATCTCTTAGTGTCTGTGGTGAACATGTGGAATAACGCTCCAGAAAGTAACCCCACATCATCCTCTAATAACCATACCAGGGACTCTACCTGGTCTGCACTAAATGGTGGCAAAAATTCATCCCTGCATTCGGGGGAACCAGATGAAACCAACTCAACACAAACCTGAATCAATGGCTGCACCATAGAGAACTCTGTGCCCTGATCTACTAGAACATGAGCGAGCCGTATACATTCTAGCAGTTCATCCCGGGGATACTCCTTCAGAGTCTGATAAGCATACTCTCTGTCATCAAGCACTAGCAGAGATAAATACTCAACCTCATCCAGATCCATCCTTCCCATCAACAAGCCAAGATGGCTTCCCTGTGCAGCCACTTCTGGTCAGGATTGGCCTTGGTGTAATGTCAGGGCTCCCAGGTGTGACCAGAGATGTGTGACTGACGCAGGGAAACGCAGACTTCAGATATGTGATAAACAATGTAATTTATTAACACTAACAATACAACCATAAACGCAGTGCAATACTAAAACATAATACAGTGCAAACAAACCAAACCAACCACCCACAGATAACAGTACAAACAAGCAAGCGTCGTCGGGCAGGGCAGGGTCAATATCAATGGTCGGGGGCAGGTAGGTACAGCATCGGGGAGAGGGCAAGCAGAGAATGGTCGGGGTCACAGCCAGGTTCAGAACAGGTAGCAAGCATCGTAGTACAGAGGGTCAGGCAGAGGGATGGTCAGGGTCACAAGCCAGGGATCAGAACAGGGTCAGCAGAGAATCAGACAGGAACAGAGAGCAATGGTTGGGTGCTGCAATTTTTTATGCCACATAGTACTTGTGCAGCGATCAAATGCATAATGTTTTGATAAAAATACACTTTTTTACTTTAATGCACAAAAACACAATATATTGGCCAATTATTGGTAAAATATAAAATATGATGGTATGCTGAGTAAATAGATACCAAACATGACATGCTTTAAAACTGCGCATGCCCTGTGCAATGGCAAAAAAACTGCATACATACAGAAACACCAGCTGCATTCTCAGGTTCCTCCGATGGCACGTGACTGCCTGAGAAGACCGTGGAAGGCAGCGGGGGAGGGGGTCATCTTCTCCCACTGCTTGTAAAAGCAATCCTGCAGCTAATTAGCCGCTAGGATTGCTTTTACATGAAAACTGATGGCCGACTGCAAAAAAATGATACCAGGATGATGCCTGCAGCTGCAGGCATCATCCTGGTATAACCACTCAAAGTCCAGTGATGTACCAGTACATTGCTGGTCCTTTTTTTGGTATATATGCTATGTTCTTTTTTTTTTTAACGCGCCTGTGGGCTGAATGAAGAAAAAAGAGAAAAAAATCTCTGCCAGAAAAAAGTGTGTGGTATGCCCACCATTAGAATATACATCAGGTCCATAAATATTGGACATCGACACAATTCTAACATTTTTTGCTCTATAAACCACCAAAATGGATTTGAAATTAAACGAAAAGATGTGCTTTAACTGCAGAACCGTCAGCTTTAATTTGAGGGTATTTACATCCAAATCAGGTGAACGGTGTAGGAATTACAAATAGTTTGCATATGTGCCTCCCACTTGTTAAGGGACCAAAAGTATGGGACAGAATAATAATCATAAATCAAACTTTCACTTTTTATTACTTGGTTGCAAAATCCTATGCAGTCAATTACAGCCTGAAGTCTGGTATGCATAGACATCACCAGATGAAAATGGGTTTCATCCCTGGTGATGCTCTGCCAGGCCTCTACTGCAACTGTCTTCAGTCCTCCTGCTTGTTCTTTTCAACAACACTGGGGCATTTTCCCTTCAGTTTTGTCTTCACAAGTGAAATGCATGCTCAATCGGATTCAGGTCAAAGATGATTGACTTGGCCATATGCATAACATTCCACTTCTTTCCCTTAAAAACTCTTTGGTTGCTTTTGCAGTATGCTTTGAGTAATTGTCCATCTGCACTGTGAAGCGGCGCCCAATGAGTTATGAAGCATTTGGCTGCATATGAGCAGATAATATTGCCCGAAACACTTCACAATTCATCCTGCTGCCTTTTGTCAGCAGTCACATTATCAA